GAGCTGTTCCGCCAGCCGCCGGTGCCCCACCGATCTGCGCCTGCCCCTGGCGCTAACGGCAGCGGGCTCGGCCCCACCGTGGCGCCCCTCCTGCCCAGGACCCTGGCAGACCCTTTCTTCATTGTGGAGACCACGTGTGTCGTCTGGTTCACCTTTGAGCTCCTGGTGCGCTTCTCCACTTGCCCCAGCAAGGCCGAGTTCTCCCGCAACATCATGAACATCATTGACATCGTGGCCATCTTCCCCTACTTCATCACACTGGGCACCGAGCTGGCCGAGCAGCAGCCTGGGGGCGGAGGAGGGGGTGGCCAGAACGGGCAGCAGGCCATGTCCCTGGCCATCCTCAGGGTCATCCGCCTGGTCCGGGTGTTCCGCATCTTCAAGCTCTCCCGCCACTCCAAGGGGCTGCAGATCCTGGGCCAGACCCTGCAGGCCTCCATGCGCGAGCTGGGGCTGCTCATCTTCTTCCTCTTCATCGGGGTCATCCTCTTCTCCAGCGCCGTCTACTTCGCCGAGGCTGACAACCAGGGGACGCACTTCTCCAGCATCCCGGATGCCTTTTGGTGGGCTGTGGTGACCATGACCACTGTGGGCTATGGGGACATGAGGCCCATCACCATGGGGGGCAAGATTGTGGGCTCGCTGTGTGCCATCGCCGGGGTCCTCACCATCGCCCTGCCTGTCCCTGTCATCGTCTCCAACTTCAACTACTTCTACCACCGCGAGACGGAGCATGAGGAGCAGGCAGCCCTGAAGGAGGAGCAAGGCAGCCAGAGCCGGGGGTCTGGACTGGATGCGGGAGGCCAGCGCGAGGCCAGCTGGAGCAGGGCATCCTTCTGCAAGACCGGGGTGTCAGACGGCACCCGCAGGGGCAGCCATCCCCTGGAGAAATGTAACCTCAAGGCCAAGAGTAATGTGGATCTGCGGAGGTCCCTGTATGCCCTGTGCCTGGACAGCAGCCGGGAGACAGACTTGTGAAAGGCAGGCTGGTGGTGGGGTGGGAGCAGGGGTGGCCCTGAGCCCGGGATCTCTTCACACCGCTGAGTGTGACAAGCTCACCTTGTCGCTGAAGCCGGTCTCTCCTTCCCTTCCTTCCTTGCCTCAGCCCCCCATTTTCCCTCTTCTTTCCATGACACCAAGGGTCGCCTATTTTTAAAAAGTACCACATTCCATGACGCAGGAGCTGTTGAAATGGTGAGCGCCATGAGATGGATGGGTGGATTTGGGGCCAGTTTCCTGTACCCCGCAGAGGGATAATCCAAACAAAAATGACTGTAAATAGCCAGATCCCAAGGGATTCTGCAGCCCTCCCCCCATGTGTTCCTAATTTGCTTTACATATGGTTGTAGTTGTGTAGAGGGAAAAATATTATTTTTATGGCCAGTGAGTAGACTTTTGTACTGTAGCTCAGATAGCACTTGGGTATTTTCTCAAGAGATATACTGAATTATTGAATTGAGGGATGAGCGAGCCATTGTGATGTTTTCCTGGGAGACTTAGAGCCCCAGACCCAGGCAAGGAGGCTCTGGCTTCTGCGATTCCAGGCCTCTCTTTTGAGGGTAATGTTGGTGCTTTATGTCTAAGTAAGAAATGTTCTAGAAGAAAGGCAAATCTGACTTTTTCTGTGCCCCTTAAACAATTCTCCTAACTCTCTTCACAAAGCATTATAAGGACATTAGAGGAAGACTTCTTGTAATTCATTCTCTCTCTTTTTTACTCCAAGGAAATAAAATGTGACTTGGCTAAGGTGGGTATTAGTTTTTCTACAGACAATGTTTTGGTTTTGAATTTTTAAGTCATAGCTTGTTATGTGGTGTTTCTGGTTTGGAGTCAGGGCAGATGCCTTGTCTGGGGTGGAAAGCTTGGAAAGCTGATGGTTTGCTTGGTGCATCTTTGGGACAGGTGCCTGAGCCCCTGGGGAGTCCTGTAGGTCTCGGGCTGTGTGTGACGCAGACAGCTGTGATATGCAGTGCATTGGTGGCACCAGACATACGGTAAGCCTGGAGAGAGGAGGGCCGAATAGAAGAAGGCAGTGAGCTCCGGCACCAGCGCTGTCCCACGGTGGCTCCCTAGGGCTCCATTTCTAAAGTCTCCCTTGTTCGGGTTGCATTCCTTTTTGGTACTTGCAGCTCCCGGATCTCAGAAACCAGCCTGAATGTCACAGGCATGCAGCCCCGAATGAAGGTCACACGGGATGGAGCCTGTGGCATGGCAGGCAGAGAGAGCAAAGTCTCCGTGTTGGAAGGCACAGAGTGGCTGAAGGGAGGACGAGCTTATGGCCATTAGAGTGGCTGAGCTCCAGACAAGCTCCTTTGTCCTCTGCCCTGCACAGTGGTGGCAAATCCTCACTGTGTGCAGCCTGGCCGTGTCCTGGGACCAGCTCTGAGGATTTCCACTGCTGCTCTCTCTGCTGTTCTAGGGCCTCAGCAGGTCTGTCCTCACAGGTCCCTCAGAATAGCTGGGTACTCGGAGCCAGTTCTGGGTGTGTTTGGGTCTCCCCATGGGTGAGGGAGCACCTACAAATCCATATCTGGGAATTGTGGATTTAAATATGGTGTGATCAGATAAACCAGAGTCCGTGAAGCCTGAAGTCACTTCCGGTCTGGAGCTGTTAATGGCCAGTCTGGGGAGGAAACAGGAGGACTGGGCAGGCGTGTTGTTTGTCATCATATCCTCAAGTGGAGGAAGGTCACAGGTGCTCTATTTATATATGATTTGCAGTTTGCCTAAAAGCAGGGCATCTTGCCAAAGCTCAGTCACTCAGCCTCACCCCCAGCCCTCTGTGTCTGTAAAGTTTAGTGTTTGTGTTCTGTAAGGTGGGTCCATCTTCCCAGCAGAGCAAATCCAACATCCCAGCCACTTTCGGCCTGAAAGGCCATTCCTTTAGGCTTAAGAAAGGGAGAATGAGCAGCACCCAGCTCTTGAATGTGTCCAGATGCCTGAAAGTGGGTTAGTCTAATTCTGTTTGGAACCTTTAGACCATACAGGGTACATTTCACAGCCCTGTTCAGGGAGAAATGGAGGGAGCGTGGGTCTCTTGGCTTGTGCATGAAGGAGGGGGGTCCCTTGGAGCAGGTGTATAAAAGGGATGAGGGAACCTGGGGGTGGGTGTATCAGCCTCCAGCTGCAGCCTCCCTCCTGGGGCTGTGGCTTGGGACCTGCCCTGGTCACTCACAGACTCAATGTTGCAGTTTCTCTGTGTTCTCTGTGCACCTGTTGCTCCGATTCTGGAAATCGCTATGCTGTGTCCCTCCTTCCATCACAGTTTGCCTTCGTAACTAGTGGAAGAGAGATCTGAATGCCGTGGCTTCTCCCCAGGATAATCAAGGACAGGAGCCCTCTTTTCTGCCTTCCCACTGCCCCCTCTCTGCTGTCATTAGTTTCCCTCAGAGTTCACCTCCTTGAGGAGGTTAGATCAGGTGACCTCAGCAGGCTCTTTATCCAGCGTCTCCTCTTGGTAGAAGATAGATAGATCCTCCATCAGCCTCAGCAGCTAGCAGGGCCGCTCCTGAGGGTCCAGCACTGTGTGAGGACAGCGAGGCTTTGCTCCTCTCTCTCTTGCTCCCAAGCTCATGCTCACTGAGCCCTGAGCAGTGACAGATGTAGGGAGATGCCTTTCACTTGCTTCTACTGCAGAGCCCTTTGGCTCATCCTGCTGGGTGCACACTGGAGGGCAGGAAACTGACTCCTGGCCCTTGGGGAACTCCCCAGAGTTAGGATTTACATTATTCAGGGTGAACATGGAAGATTCTCAGGTTAGGGAACAGAGCAGGAGGTTTCTCTTGGGGCAGAGACACTGCTGCACGTCCCCTCCAGAAGTGGACAGAGCCGACCCTGGGTGAGGGCTAAGCACTCCCTCACCTCACCTCTTTCTGTGTCTACCCGACCGGATGTGTGGGGCAGGGAACAGTGTTCGGGGGGTGGTCCCTGTCCCTGGGGGTGGTTGTAGCTCCTGGGGAGCCCCCGGCAGAGAGCACACGCAAGTCTCTGGGGGCCGAGGGTGACTGAGGACTTTGCAGGTCCTCAGCACCTCCTGTCCAGGAGCAGGTGTGGGTGGGCAGGGGTGAGGATTGTGGGGAGTGCTCTGGCAGGTGAGTGGGAGGGAAGGCCGGTGGGGAGGACAGTGAGAGCCCAGCCTGGGAAAATCACTCCTGAGTCCCCATCTCCAGCCTTTGGGGACAGCCCATGCTTCAGTGCCAGTGATTACAGGGGGACCCAGTGTTACCCAGAGCAGGGGCCTCTGCCCTGATTCAGGCAGAGACAGCAAAATTTCTGAAAGGGGAAAACTGGCGAGGCGAGAGGCAAAATTGGGGCTATTATGTTGTAAGTATTCATCCTGTATAACCATTTAACATGTAATCCTTTGAAAATGTAAGAAACTATGCCTGCTGGCCTGTCATGTCCGTCTGTCTGTCATGCCATGCCTGTTCTAGGTGCCTGCCATCTCCTTGGATTCGTGTGCCCTGTCCAACTTGTATCTATTTCGAGTGTCAACCCTGCTTGGGGAGGGGACCCTGTGCCGGCATTTCCTGGCCCACGGAGGCCTTCCAGGGACCCTGAAGCTTTCTTCTACCACCTGCAGCGGGTGAGACTTGCTGCATGGCTGTGGGATGCGGTGCCCTTTCCAGGGAGCAGGCAGGAGATGCCACACTGGAGGATCTGCTGGGCAGTGGGTTTTCCCCTTGCTGTTGCTGGCAGGCCAGGGAGGCACCTCCTCTCCTGAGGCTTTTTCTGGATGTGGGGCGCATGAGCTGCTGGACGGCACAAGCTCCTGCCCTCTCCCTGTGGTGCTCTCCTGGCTGTGGGGAGGCCCCAGGTTGGCACAGCCTCTGTGTGTCCCCCGAGGCACTCACAGGAGGAGGCAGCATAGCCCAGGCCAGAGCAACTGGACCCCAGGCTGAGGCCTCCAGGCTGAGCAGGACACTCGCCACTGTCCCATCACTCAGCATTGATTTTCTGTCAACTTTGCACTCTGGGACATTTAGACTGGAAGCAATCTTACAAAAAATCTGGCGCACCGCACTCTAATCTTACAGATGAGACAGTGGAGGCTCCAAGAGAAGAGAGGACCTACCCAGGCTCACACCCCCAGTTACATATGGCAGGGCTGGGTTTTTCTGAAGAAACCTCCAGTTCCCACCGGGCTGCCCGCCTGCCCTGCCACCTGTGGCGCATTCTGGCTGCGCCTGCCTAACTGAGCTGCCTGTGCAGCTGCCTCTGGGAATCAGCCATGCCCGGGAGTCCTGCTCTGTGCCCTCTGATTCGATCTGACTTAATCCAAACTGCATTTCTTGCAAAATCCAAGCCTCCTTAGGATATGAAGCTGCAGCCTGGTATGAGCGGGGTCTCCCACTGCAGCTTGCCTTTCTCTAGGGAGTGGACATCAACCTGTCTTACCCAGCACGCTCACCCCTCCACTCACACCGCAGACGCTCAACCCGAGCAGGCTCAGCGGGGATGTCGGGAACGGCTGGTGAGCACTCTTCTCTAGTTTTCTGATCAACAAGTGAATGAGCGAGTGATACAGAAACAATGTTCAGGTGGAGGGCAAGGCCTGGAATGGGCCGAAGATGGGGAAGAGATGTGGGAACTCTGGGGACCCAGGAGGGGCCTGTGCTCCTCTCAGAGCTGGGAGAGCACAGGACCATGCAAGCGAGTGGCCTGGGTGGGGTTCTGGGTCCTGCGCCTGCTATCACCCCTGCCTGGGAGGCTCCTGTTTCTGTTGGAAAGCAGGGGGATCTCGGTCTGACTGTCCTCTTTCATTTGCGAGGAAGGTCAGCAAAGGCCCTCAGGGGCTCCCTGACCGTCTGCCAGCTCTCAGGAGCCTCAGGAGAGTCCGAGTTGGCTGAGTAGCCTGAGCTGTCAAGCCAAGTGGGGGTTGTGTGCAAAGGAGGCACGGCCAGGAGGCCGGCGCCAATGTCCATGCACAGCTGGGTGCTGACCTGGGCTCTGACCCACCGCGTAGCCTCCCATGGGCTTCATTCAGGACTAAAGCACACCAGAGGGCGGTAAAGCTTCCCCTCCATCCTGCCCACTTGCTCCCTGCTCCGTCCTCTCCGGGTGGATCCTGGGTCCCACCTGAGGGAGTGACTGAGAGGCCTGGCCTGGCAGGGCTGCCATGAGCTGGCCCAGTGTCCCTTCCCTGTGCTCTCTGTCAGCTCTCTCATGGGCGCGGCCCCCCACTTCTGCCTCCTGCAAGTGGCTGTTGGCTCATGCCCATTGGTCCAGGGATCGACTCAAGACACATTTTGCCCTCTAGGACTTCAGAAGAGTGGGCACGAAGGTCACACACATGTGGTTTTAGCCAAGTCTTTCTGTGCCCAAGAATGTCCTCTCACCCCCAACACACCCCCACCCAACCCCTTCGGCGTCCCTCCATCCTCTGCCTGGGCACTGTGTGAAGCTGAACCTCCCAGCCTCCCAGCTGTGAGTGGGGCTGCGGGAGTGCAGCCAGGCTGTGCCTCTCTGGACACCCACAAAATCCCTGAGTGCCCAGCTCACAAACGGAGACATCAGCAGTGCTCTGCAGAACTGCAAGTTTACATAGAAAAAAAAAATGGCTTGGCCTTTCTTTCCCTTACCTCTTGAGCTCTGTGGAAACTGACTTCCTGGATGCTTTGTCTTTGCAGTTTGGTGATTGTGTAAACTGTGTTCCAAGGCAGGACCTGCACTTCAGGGAGTTCTAAGTGCTTGTAATGTGACACTGTTGCAATGTAATATTTATTATAAACTTCCAAATTATTTCAGTTCTAAGACTGAAGATTACACAGCGGCTTAGTCCCCAGGAGTCCAGCCTGGCTCCAGCTGCCCCTTGGCAGTTATGTAAAAGACCTGAAAGACCAGCTCAGTAAGAAGGCCAGTGATGGGCCTGGGCTCCAGTGGTTTGCTCTCTGCCCTTCAGAGGAAACTGTCTGTCACTGCTCTCCATGCCACTGTTAAGGCCATTGCTTGGACATTTGAGGCAGGTGGTCTTGCATGTACTTGAGGGGCCAAAGTGTCCGCTGCCCCACATGCTGAATAACAGGCAGGGATCCTGCAGGGGCTTAGGCACCTCTCCCTCTGTCTTCTCCCCTCTCTCCCCCCTCTCTCACTCTCTCCCTCTCTCTCTCCCTCCCTCCCCTTCTCCCTCCCTCCCTCTCAGTCTGCAGGGCACCCTTTGTTTGTTGTCCTGCCAATCCCAAAGCCGCCAGCAGTCTGTCTCATTTGAACTCCAGGTCTGGAGTCTGGGCAGCCCAGTCCCTAGCCTTGATCTTTCTGTCTCCCTTTCACTTCCGGCCTCCAGAACCTCCAGACATGTTTCCGTGTTAATCTCTCCAGGCTGAAACAGAGCACTTTCAGTCCCTTTAAACTGACTGAGATCCTCCCTAGTGTGATGCCAAACACCCTGCAAAGACACTGTCCGTCCTCCGCCTCCAATCCAAAGCCTCCTCTCCGGTGCTCCTGTCACAGACACTGCTACCCCAGCTGTCTCTCACTAGCCTCTCCCTGGAGAACTCGCTGATGGCGGCTCCTCACCTCACCACTCATCTCAGCCCCCAGATGGGCCAGGACCTCTGCCTCGAATGCTGTTCTTGAACAATTCCTGCGGAGGGGCCCTGGCATCTGGGCAGTGGGGAGCACGGCCTTCTTCACAGTGCCCCGTGCTCTGCCCTGGCCCCCGGTCCGCATCCAGGTGAGCGGGAACGACCTGAGCTGGGACCTCCAGAATTCCGAGGGACAGCTCTGTGGGCAGGGGCAGGGGTGTTGCACAGACCTAGGGAGTGATACAGGGTGGAGATGGACGAGGGATAGAGAGAGGAAGTAGGAGATATCACAACTCGGGCAAACACGTTGAGAGAGACAGAGTGGCAGTGTCTGGCTTGTCATGGACAGCTGGGCATACCTCACAGTCACCAGGGTACCACGCGTGCCCTAGGCAGCCAGCTGCTGTGAGGATGCTGGGATTTGGGCCCACACAGGACGTCGGGCCTGGCACTTAATCCATGTCTCCAGCACCAGTCCCACATAATCGCTTCTCCATCCCCTGGCCAAGACGGGGTGGAATCATAAGAAGTCTTCAGCACTCACAGGAACATGGTTCTCCTGTGCAGTTTCCAACAAAAACAACCCAATGGGACACAAAGTAAAGGCCCCTCCCTCCTGCCTCAGTGCTTCCCTTTCTGTTACTGAGATAGCAAGGTTGAGTCACCTCAAAGCAGTCTCCTCTCTGCTTGCAGGTGCCCAGCTCAGTTCTCAGGTTAGCTCTGCTCTTGAACAGTCCCCTTCTCTCCCAGCCTCGCCCTCCCCTGTGGCCCCAGGGCCCCCACCTGAGCTCCTGGGTATGTCCCGGCCCACATCCCTGGCAGGCCCTGTGTCTGGGTGGCCATGTGCTGAGGACATGGATGCTCACAGCTAGTGGCCGCCGGGCAGACCTGACTCTGAGTGGAGTCTGGACTCCCACAACCACACTAGGCATTGTTCTGTGGCTGTGCCAGAGGCTCTCAGGGGGGCTCTCCCAGGAAAGCCACTGACTGAGTCTTGCAGTGAATCAGAGAGCCAGTCTCTGATGCTCGCCCAGCTGCCTCCTCTTATGGGTAACAGGGGTTTCAGCAGGAAAGTGATTTTGGAGATGGCAGAGAACAGCCCCGAAACAATGGATCAATGACACGATCATCTTATTGGACAGTGCAGCTGAACCGTGTGATAAATAGCATGTAAGTACACGTGTATGGGCTCTAGGCGTAGAAGTAAGTGAATATTCAAAGACATCCTCTGGAGAAAGGCGTGCAGGTGCAGCCAGGTAGGAGGTGTTGCCATTGCTCGAAACATTGTGGCATTCCTTCTCCCGGGGACACACTTGGATTCCTTTGATTGTTGGATCTTTCTGTCCAACGCAATTTCCACGGAACTTTGGGCAGATGGACCCTCACACATTTGTTGGAAAGAGTTACAGCAGAGGTAAATGGCCTGGAAGTTCGAGGTGGGAGTCAAAGCACAGGGCTGGGCAGGGCTGAGGGGAGGCCGAGCCTGGGAGGCGTAGGAGGGAGAGCAGCGAGGCTGGAGAATTCCAGGGCGGGGGGACTACTAGCGCCTCCCAAGAGCAGACGGACAGCATCTACCTTCCCCAGACCTGGGAGACAGGCAGCTGGGAGCAGGTGCTGAGAGGGGAAGAAATAAGTGGGGAGACCAGAGAGGAGCCTGTGCCAGGAAGAGGAGCCCAGGGGTCAAGCCTCTCAAGTTACAGGAGTGAGGTCTGGAGGGGTAGGTTGGAGCTTGGATCCTGATCTTGTCATTCACTTTCCCGAGACCAAGTGTAAGTGATGCTTTTCTAAACAGCCAGCTCCACGCTAGGGATGACAGGAGGGCTTCCCTTCTTAATGGTCAGGGGACGATGTCGAAAGCTGCCTTGGACCAGGGTATGCTGCAGTCATAGAACATTTATTTCCCCAGTGGGCTCAAGACCCTGGCTATCCAACCACAAAAAATGAAAAGTAAATACAATTTAAAAATAATAAAGCAAACTGCATAGCTATGTGCCTGGCAGTAAGCCCTCAGTAAAGGTACTGTGCTGTTCTTACCCTGAAAAGCTCCTTGAGAAGCCCAAGGACAAAGCCTCCGGAGCAGCATGGTCCATCGGACGAGGTGGTGCTTACTGAGTGCTACTGTGCTGGTCGCCAACGTGAAGACAAGAGTCCAAGGGACTCAGTGTGTCGGGGTTACCAGGTGGCCCCAACCGCAAGCACAGCCAGCAAACCCGACGCAGGTG